CATTACGGTCATTATACAAAAACAATAGTCATGAAAGATAAATTGGCGACCATATGCGTTCTTTCAACCAACACACACCGTCGTGCACGAAAAATACAAAAAATCTATATACGTACATATATGTATAATTATATAATATTATAATTATATAAATAATATATAATTATATTATAATAAATATAATTATTATTATAATTGTATATATTAGATTATTTCATGAGTTTTGTCGGTTTTTTTTTTAATCAAAAACTTGACATAATTACAGAAAAGCATTATGAGTTCAATCATCAATGTATTCACTCAAAAAAATAATCTTGCAATAATAGCTAAAATTTTCTAGGTGTAAAAAATTAACTAAAACAGATAAATGATTAGCAACTGTTGTAATATTGCATATGTAATTACTTAATCAGTTTAGATGACAGAAACAGAATATATATCTGTATTGTTTGTGAACTTTAAAAGTAAAGTTTACTCTAAAGACGCCTATCTATATAAGATCAATCACGTGTTAGATCATGCAATGAATAACATTTAGCAATGGTACCTAAATTTTTCAGAAGCTATTGCTAGAACATTACTGCTATAAATTCTATATGTGACAAACAATGTTTTCACAGATACGAAAAATAGCGATACATTCTTGTTGCGATATCTAGAAATCTAATTACATCAGCGAAATATTTTTTTGAGTGTCTAATATTTCCTCTTCTTCAGCTGATAATCTTTCCTTTACATTCTTTTTATTACTAGGCTGAATATTTTCTGAAATAAAAAATAACATATACATCATGTATATATCATGCGATATAAATGTAATGAGTTATTTACGGTATTTTAAAATTTTTCGTATAATATTAATCTTACCTAGATTATTATCATGAGAAGGTGATACCATAGATGCTATTGTTTCAGCCCATACAGCACAGAACATTGCAATTACATTGCAGCAATGTTACAATCTTGCAAGTTGCAATGTAATATTGTAGAGACATTATTGCAACATGTAATTGTAATATTTCATGAGAATGTGACAGCAACATTCCAACAACATTGCAATAGCAATATTCGGTAATCGCTACTTCGTTCGTTTACCGCTATGCGACGCGCGTTGCAAAATCTATCTCGTATTTAAATTTTAGTTATGATGATTATATGAAACTTGCAAAGAGTGATTAGTAAGATTAAAGACATAATAATTATTTTTATCAGTATAATTTTTCTGATACGAACTCAACACAGGGAATTCAGATATTGAACTGATTGTTCAAAAATCGGACAGATAAATGTCCGAATAAATAAAAATATATGCAACATTATTCTAAGATTGCAATAACAATGCATTATTACAAATTCATTACATTGTAATATTACTGTAATATTTCGTTACAATCTTCCTAAAAGCGGACATTTTAACGTTGCTGCAATCCCACAGCAATGATGCAACAACATTTTGCAGTGAATTTGCAATATTGCAACATTGCGATGAAAGATTGATGCAATGTGTATGCAATCTTTGTGTGCTGTATGGGAGTGTTTTGTGTGTCCAAACTTCTAACACAACAGTTACTCCATCATCTAAAAATATTATAAGACAAATTTAATATTATTTTTATAATTAACTAAAATAAAATTTATGAATATAAACATTCTACCTAAACAGGATAAAAATAACAGTTCTCATCTGTAAAAAAGTTTGGATATCCTTGCAGACATTCATGTCTTGATACTTCATCTTCATTACATGCAACATCACACAATCCGCACGTTTGAACACAAAACTCATTCTACAAAAAATATTTAATTTATTTCAATGCTTTCTTGCTGTATAGTTACATAAAAGATATTTATACTTTTGACATAACCTATATCAACAGATTTATATTTACCGTTTTATTACATATAAAATTACATTATAAAAAATTATTAATACATGTTTAATATTTATTACAAAATTGTACTTACCATTTGATTATACATTTCATAGATTTAAAAAATGTCGCAAAATGTTGCTCAATGCTTGTCACTTGTAGTTGAAAAAATCGAACGACAAATTTAAATCACCATCAGCTACATTTTTCTAAATTCTTTAATATTACTTATTTAACTACTAATAAATATAAATGATAGTTAAACAAATAATACAAAGAATTTAAGGGGGAACACCACGGTGACGGTTTCAAAAAATCGATTTTTTTTTTGCATTTTTGTGATGTTTGGAGTCTTAAAAATATGTCCCTATAATATTATGGTGAAATTCGTAACGGAACTATAGTAAATATGTCATACAGTACAACCAGAGAGAAGCCTGAGAGACGCCACGGCCAGGTTTTACGTGATCCGCGAAAGCGATACGCCACCTGTGGACCTAAAATGTGGACATTGGAACTACGTAGCCATGTGCACAATTTTTGGTTTCGTTCCGTGCTATGTCCACGAAAGATCGATAATACAGAGTAATGTGCACATTGATGTATATATAATGTATATAAAATAAATTTTTAGTCTAAACACATGCACATTCATTATTTATTTTTATGTTAAAGCTTTATTTGTAATAAATTGTAAATAAGAACAAAAGTATCAAACGTTGAAGCAATCAGGCACAGATTTAATCAAATAATGCTTTTATTAATTAATTTTTTGTTAAGTATAGTTAAAAATTATCTGATTTATGTCGTGTTTGATGTCATTTTAATCGCAAAATTCTTATTAATTCATAAAAATTATTTTCAAACCGATAAAAATGCGAAATAAAGGTTTTACTTTTCACTTTATAAAATGTTTACATTCGTGACTTGAGGGATGGGGAAGTCCATTGTAAAAGAGTTCGGAACTCTTCTTTGATGATAGGTCATCTCGCTCGCTCTTCACTCGCGGTCTCACTCACGATTCTTCGGCCAGCTTAGACGATAGCAGGAGCGAGCGAGACGATGATGAGTGCGAGCGAGACAATAGCAGGAGCGAGCGAGACGATGATGGGAGCGAGCGAGAGGGAAATAGCAGCGTACAATGAATAGCCAGATCCTCGAGCTTCTTTGCACGCTACTATTTTTATCTCACTTGCTCTTATGATTGTTTCACTCACTCACTCTTATGCTCATCTCGCTCGCTGTCAAGCCCGTCGCTGGCAAGCGGCTGGTGAGAAGACAGTTCATGATAGATAGATAAATGTGATGATAGATAAATTTTTTTAAAGAATATATATTGTATGAGTTAATTATTTAGAGTTATATATATATAAATTTTTGTTATAGATATTTTTTTTATTTGTTTATGTAATTCTTCGATAATTAATCAAAGGAGTTTGAAATTAAATATTAGGAGTTTTAACTTTATTAATATTAATTATAATGTTTTATTTTTTACCATGAATAAAATCTTTGATAAATATTATAAGATTGCACTCTTTAAATAAAATATTTTTTAAATTTTTATTAATTATTTTATTTTACTAACATTATTAGGATCGCAATCCATTCCATAATATCCATTTTCTTACATATTTTTAAGACAAGTTTTTTTAAGACAAGTATTTTTAAGACAGTCTTATCTTTAATACATTTTATTTACTCATCTATATCTCTTACTATATCTCATCATTTTTCATTATCAAATACTGACATAATAATATTTATTGTTTACATTAATTTTTTATCACCAATACATTTAGATAACAATTTTACTAATAATAGTTAATATCGAAGAATATATTTTAAAAACAATGTGGAAATAATAATTTTCTATTAGCTCTTATTTAATTTATTGAATGTCTGTCTTAACACAATTTTTTATTATTATTATTATTACCATATAA